TATATATATATATATATAGTGTGTCCCACTTAAGATTGAATAGAAAAAATATTGTTAAACAAAAGTTGCTTCTATTTCTATTGTTCATCCCTGTAAAATATTTTCAACTATCTCGTAAAAATGTGAGAGCAATGTTGCCACTGTGAATAAATTTGAAAAAAATCACTATACATTTTTTAGATACACTGTTAAATCCTTCACAAGTTTTGTTGAACTTTTTTTTGTTATTACTGTAGCAACGTCAGTATGAAGGACGCTATCTTGAAATTTTTAAATTGTCATAACTTCTAAATGCCTTAATCGATTTCAATAAACGATGGCTCATTTTAAAGAACTATTATAAAATGTATATTTTTGATACAGAAATAAAAATATTATTTTCCTGCACAACGGTAGACGACGCTAATGAGAAAAGTTTTGTAATTGTCTCCGTTTACTAAAAAAATTAAATGCAACGATATAGGTCATGGCTTCATGGCTTCATAGACCATTCATTATGGAAAACAAATACACAAAACGGAGATCGATATCTTTTTTCGATTTCAAGTTCAACGGAAGATAATATTATTAATAAGCTGGCTTGTGTAAATCCCCAAATAAGTCTAAGGGAATTAGTTAGAGACCTGGGAATTTCATATGGAACACAAGTACTTTTCTCACACGAATGACACTAACTTTGCACGAAGCAAGTGCTGTTACATATCGTTTGACATAATTTTTTATTTGTCTATTTTCATAGGACAAAGCCTCCTTCATTATGGAAACAATAATCTTTATAACTATTCAGATATTTGGAATTAATAAAAAAATGAAATATTGCAGTTATCAAAAAAATTTCAAAATAAAGCAATAATTCTTTTTAAGGACAAGATTGGTATAGTTTTACAATTTAATATTGGCTTGGATTATGTTACTTTTATTTAGAGAACTGAATAACTCTTTCAGGCACAGAAATTATATTATTTTTTTTACCCAAGCGTCACAAAAAATTAAACTATAGCTTTTGTGAATTATAATGATTTTATTGTAAAGAATACTTAAAACTAAATACATTACAGGTGATTTTGTGACCGTGTGTTAGCTCACAGACTCCTGTGGGGGTGGTACAGGGTCTGTACCACTATGGCTGAAGGGAAATGATTGTTAAATAATTTTTAAATGTAAGTACTTAAAAAATTCTTACTCTAATATGATAATCTTGATAAAGATTTGTTTGGAACACTATATTGTTAATTATATCAGCATCAAATAGTAGCCTGAATAACTTATATGGAGATGGAATCTGAATTTCCTGAACAACTCGCGTTACTCCTGAATATTGATCAAAACCAGGTGGTTCCATTATATTTTTGGTCTGGCCCCAAATAGGATCCGCATCATACTGCAACTGTTTCTGTATATCCCTAATTTTATTCAGAGGTACATTCCATTCAGAATCATCAGATTCTGAATCTTCTACAGAAGCATAAACAATATCATCTTCTTGTTGCATATTATCTTCTACTTCCGCAGTACAATTAAATTCTTCCTCATCCTATTGATTATCTAGTTCGCCATTAACTATTGAATCTTCATCTGAAGGAAGGTTTTCTTTCAAAAATTTGGCTCTAGTCCAGCCTTTCAAATTTATGTTGTTCATTACAATATATAAAAACACAATAAAACGAAAGTAATAATTTTGGTCAATATTCATGGTGGTACATAATTTGTACCGCCCCAATTTTATCAAAAATTGTGTTAGCGAATATTACTTTGTACTTACCAGTGTTCTGATCTGCACTAATTCACTTCAATTTCAAGCTTAATATAAAAATTTTAAACTAAAACACCTTATATTACTTTAAAATCAGGGGAATATTGAAACACATGAAGAGATTATAAAATCTAATCTTAAAACTGCTTCTCTACAAAGCCAACGGTCACAAAATCAATATTTAGTAGGCAACACATTTTAAAAGGGGGTACAATTCTAAGTCGGCTGTGACGGTACCACCAAGACCTGGAGGAATAAAAAACGGCGGTACATTTTATGCACCACTGAGACTGAAAGAGATAAAGGAGGACGTTCTAGCACAGCTTCACTATTTTAGCAATAACTTGAAAACGAACAAAGATATCGACCTCCGGTTTGTGTATTTGTTTTCCATAATAAATAGTCTATCAAACCATGAAAAAAACCTATATCGTTGCATTTAAATTTTTTTAGTAAACGGAGACAATTACAAAACTTTTCTCATTAGCGTCATCTACCGTTGTGAAGGAAAATAATATTTTTATTTCTATATCATAAATATAAATTTTATTAATAGTTCTTTAAAATATGCCATCGTTTATTGAAATCGATTAAGGCATTTAGAAGTTATGACAATTTAAAAATTTCAAGATAGCTTCCTTCATACTGACATTGCTATGGTAAAAAAAAAGTTCAAACAAAACTTGTGGAGGGTTTAACAGTGTATCTAAAGAGCGTATTTGCAACGTAGGTTATATAAGCGAAATTTCGAAGAACCGACAATTTTCTGTAACACTATAGCAGTTACGCCCCCTAGCAGTGAAGTAACAGACTTGAAAATATTTTAAATCAATTTCTTTTGGTCGTATTTGTATGCATTTTCTACTCCGTGATCGTAGCACGTCTAGTTTCCTATATACAACCGCTCGATACCGTTAATGGATCACCCTGTATATGGCGTTAGATCTGAAATTTTTCCTTAGTGACGCCAGAATGATATTTTAATTTTTTTTTAGAGATTAAATGAGGACGAAATGAAAAAATAGAAAATACGAGTCTCATAGTTTTTAACCTATTTTCATTTTCTATGTAGATAAAAAGTTGGAAAGCATCGCTTAACCTTCCACGTGAAGTCCCATTTTTCATAATTTTCAGGAGCCAAATAAGAACTTTTACTATTTATGCCCAAGATTCGAAAAAAAATAAACAAAACACATCGAATCGTATCCCAATCTCTTTTTCCGAAAAAAAACAACATTTTTTTGCAGTGTAACCACCTGAAGGTCCTGGGGCGAATTCACAATCGCATCAAAATTGGCCGGAGCGCCGCCGAGCCTGACAAGCTTTTAGGGACGCACTTTCGACAATAAAACTTTCCACGTAAATTGAGGCCCAGAGTCTCGCAAAGAAGGAGTCAGAGACGCTTTGAGAATCGCAATTTGAATAATGGCGTTTGTCACGCTCTTTTCGCCGGCCCCATAACCGGTGCTCCAGGAAATATATACGTTTAGGACCAGGAAGTGGGTTTTATGCTCGGTTCATAAGTGATGTATTGCTGTTGCGTCGCAGACTTTTATCGTTACGTGACAAGAGAACGCATACAAATTCCTTCTTTTAAATGTTTCAGTAAGTACAGGGCGATTCAATATTCCGTGTATATCGAGGGCGTAGCAAGGATTTTTCCAGGGGAGGACAAAACAAAAACGCGTAATGTTTTGTTTCAACATTTGAAAACGTTAAAATAAATGAAACCTTGATGAAACCCCATCGTAGGTACGCCTATGGTGTACATGGAGCTACCACAATTTCCTGCGATCAAAATAAGCAGATTTAACTAAACTTGCCTCTATCGTAAGTTGCTTCGATTATCCGCTAGAGCAGGGGTCGGCAAGTAATTTTAGGTGGGGTCCGAATACTTTTGAAAATTTTTAACGAGGTCCAGAAAAAAAAATCATATTTCTTATTTTTTTATTTGGACTCAAATTTAATCTGCTTACTAACCATTAAGAACTCAAAACACACACAATTGTAAAATACTAGAAAAAATGATAAGATTGGCACTTAAACGTAAAAAACATTTTTTAAATAATTTATTTGAGTAATTTATACTTTAAAAAAATTTTTGGCGGTCCAGTATTTTACCGGACCTGGACCGCGGTCCGCCAGTTGCCGACCCTTGCGCTAGAGGGTATAAAAATTACTACACGACTGGTGTACTAGAGTTTAGTTTTTATTTAACACTGCTAAAGATGGTTACAATTTTTTTATATCTTTTGTGACAGTTTCTTTGCACATAATGGAGAACCTCAATAATAAACTGATTTTGTCTTGTCTTCGATATATCTTGGTGAGTTATGTACGGACGTATGTTTGTAAATATTGCGCCGACTTAAACACTTACACATTACAGGCGGTATAGGTATAACATTATTACCATTTGTGATGGTTTATGTGCCTTAAATTTCACTTTTCTGTATGTTTCATTTGCAAATATTTATCTTCAGTTAACGTTACAATGATCGACCTCTGTTGGCACTGTCGCAACCACGTGGGAAGTGTAGAACGTTATGACGGGCTAATTGCAACATATTCACGATTCAATTAACGTTTTATAAACATTATTTTCTTGGGAAATCCGCCCTCTATTTTAACCCCTGTTAACACAAAACGACGATAACGTCTTTTTAATCTAATTTGTCTCTTAGTAACTGTTACTCTCGGCGACATTGTTGTGTCGATTTTTGCTATGGCCTACTCTCCCGCATGATTCCATTCACACAGACTTCAGTGAAAAATAAATAAAAGTTAAGGGTTAAAAATAACTATGAATGTTCTGCATATTTAAGAAATTCACTGTCCAATAACAATTAACATTCCGATATATATCTCTTTTATATGCAAATTATGTTCTCTCATAAAAATTTTGTGTAAAATTACACACTACACTATTATTGACGCCATATTAGGTAATGTAAAATTATCTTATACAGATAAAGTTACATTAAGATATTTCGAGGGTAATGTCGGTTCCCTTTGAAAAAATTGAACTGAGAATAAAATATAATGCAAAGTAAATAGGCCTTAAATAGTAAGCTGCAATTCTGATGGCTGCATATAAAAGGTAGGGATAGTCCAATACGGTCAGTATTGATATTTGTCATACTCTTTAATGAAAATTTATATAATTTACACAAAGTCATATTATTTACTTACCTTAGTATTTATTTATAATAAAATAATATTATGTTTATACAGGGTGTCTCATAATTAGTGTCCAATAATTTACCACTTGATTCTATTGGCAAAAATAAGAATATTTTTTCATATAAACATGGGTTTCAAAATAATTTTTTTTAAATATTTTCGAAACGGGTTGAAGGAAAATTATGTATTTTGACACCATAAAAGTCGAAATAGATCACAAAATTTTTGAAAAATTTTTGTCAGAGGCGTCTCAATTGGGGGGGGGGGCATCGGCTAAAATTTGCCCCTATTTTTTTGCTTGTCGAAATTTTCAAATTCAAATGCCAACATATGATAGACCTTAATCTCCTCTACAAAAAATGTACTCCTTATTTATTTCGATAAAATGCTCCATTTCTGATAAAAACGGATTTAAGCAATTCGTTACATTACCTTAAAATTAAAAAAAAATTCTTGAATAGCTAAAATGGGTACATATACTATTATGAATTTTGATGTGTCACATTGTAATAAACGACGTGAAAAGTTCTTAGAAAATTTTTTAGGAGGTCTCAAGCAGGGGGGGACTCGGGTAAAATTTGCCCGAGAATTTGCCCCAAATTTTTTACATGTTGCAACAGTAAAATTTGATTGATTTGAATTTTCTATAAAAAAGTCCTGATGTTTTACTCGAGTTCCTCCCCCCGCTTGCGACGCCCATAACAAACTTTTCTAAGCACCTTTCACTCCTTTAGAAAGCATTTCCATGTGTATATGAAAAAATATTCTTATTTTTGGAAATAGAATCAAGTGGTAAATTATTGGACACTAATTATGAGACCCCCTGTATAGTTAAAACACTGAGCCGTCACAAATGTATCTAAACATGTGGTCTGCTAGACTGCTAACAGAGATCTCTATACACGCATCACATGGCTGATAAATTTTATTGGTTGGGATGAAAAAGGCAGAGAAAATTCAAACTTTTATTTACATCAAAAATAGTAAGAGTACACAAAAGAGTAATGCATTTTAAAATGTAACAATATAACAAGTATTAGTACATCGTGAAAAGAAAATAAACATTCAAAAGCGTAATTTTCATTTTTACATTTTTTATGTATAAAAACCATTGGAGATATGTAGAGAATCCACAATTTTTATCCGTGTTGCTTTGATATTTCCGTTTTTTCTTCTACGCTATGTATGTAGAAACCTTGTTATTCCGTCGCATCCCATTAAACGCACGCTGTGGAAACTATTTTTCTCTGACAGTTTCGAAAATATATTTGCACGAAGCGGCCGAACAAAGGGGCGAAAAAAATGTAATAGGATATTAAATCGCGCGCTAATGCATAGATCGCCGTAATGGCGTTCGATATAGCGCCTTGATGTACCGCAAAAAGCGGGCGAGTGACCCAGTTTGCGCACCATTTTGCATAACGGACATAAAAACACTTCACAGGGTGATACAAAATATTTGCATCTGTTTTAAGGATAACTCTTGTTATATTAAACTATATGAAACAGATCAAGTAAAATAAATAAATAAATAAATAAATACTCACTTTACTTAA